GTTTTACTTCCAACAATTAGAAAAATTTTGAAAAACATGCAATAATTTTAAAAAAATCACCCGGTAGATATGAATAAATAATTTTAAAAAATTAAGTGAGCGTTTTTTTAAAATCACCTGGTATATACGACCAGTGCCATATGTTAAATATAAATTTTGATATTTTAAATCTAAACTGATGCATTAACACTAAATAAAACTTATCAAAATAAGTTCACTAGGCTATCATTCAAAAGATCTCATATTTCGAATAATGTACGAAAATGATAAGTAGATACTTACTTTTCTCTTAAAATGTCTAAACCCGCTATGGGAACATCATAATTAGTTACAAGCACTTTCGGTTTACTCATATTGCTACTGAATGATCTAATTATAGTCACTGAACCTCCTCGAATAGGAGAAAAACACTGACACGTAGACCGTCGTGTCGGTGTAAAACTACTGCAAATCGTTATCTTCCACTTATTCAACGTAATCAAATGGGCTGAACGGATAAGGCGAAAAGTTCGCCTAACATAGAAATTACACATTTCGTTGTCTGAACTTCTTATGTCGCGCGAGCGAAAATTCATAATTTGGGAAGCATTGTAGGGGATATATTTCTTCAACTAATTTATCTAAAAATATCAGTCGTTTCTCTGAAAACTGACCGAATAATCAAAATCTTTTGTACAGAGCGTTAACACCTCTCAAAAGTATTAAATTGCATTCACTGGACTGGTTAAGTCCTGATAATACTGCTCTGTAATGATCGCATACAATAGAATATCCCCGCCATAGGTGTATTATACACCTGTGGCGAGTTGAAAACCGAACATTAGGGATATTCTATTGTATGCAATCATCAAGGGGCGCCATCATCTCTTGAAAAATACTACATGCTGTTCTGATTCGGGTACAAAAGCGTCCTAACGTTTCGCTAACACGAGTGGGAAGCTTCTTCAGAAGTTCTTCTATCTCCGATGCTGGATGCGGACAGGCGATTTCTCCTACGCAAGTTGTGTTTATGCTGGAGCGTAGAGAACGGGGCCTGTTCTACATCTTTCAACCCTCGGTGTTTCTGAAGATAGGGTTTCAGATCTGGTTGGGGGTCTGAGGTCTTTGTTGAAGTTCTCTGGTTGTTTTTGAATCTCGATGGCCTCTGTAACCATTCTGCTGTGATTGCGGCTGTTCCTGAGGATCGGTTGCAGATTAGGTGGAGCCTGAAGTTCTTCTCCAACTTATGGAAGTTCTCCGGATATTTTTGGATCTCGATGGTTCCTCTGTGATACCCTCTGACTGAAGCTAGCAATTTGCAGTTCTCAAAGAGTATTTTGTGGCCGCTGTTGATCAGTGCGTGTCGACTTGCCTTGTGCTTCGTTTTCATCGGTCTCTTAGTGGTTCTTATGTAATCCATTCCTCAGGAAGAACAAAGTATGCGGTAGACTCCTGATGCTGAAAGAGTAGTGTCCGTTTTGTCCTTAGCAGATCTAATGGTCTGCTGGATTTTCCTCATAGGTTTGAAGGTGGTTCTGATGTGTTACTTCAGGTTTCTGCCAATTTGGTCCGTGACCTTTGGAAGATAGAGATGCTAGTTCCGCCTGGAGATTTTCCGGTTCTAGCTCGTTCAGTCAAACTTTATGTGAGGAAGAAGATCCAGCAGACCATTACATTAGCTGAGGGCAAAAGGGACCCTCTTTCAGCCTCAGGGGTCTACTCCATACACTGTTCCTGCGGATACGTCTACATAGGAACTACTAAGAGATCGATGGGAACAAGACTCAAGAAGCATAAAGCAAGCTGCCAACTAGGACACACCGAAAAGTCAGCTGTGACCTAACACGTACTGACCAATGGCGAACACAAAATACCCTTTGAGAATTGAAAATTGCTAACTTCAATCAGAGGGTATCACAGCAAGATGGTTAGACGAACCATAGATACCCAAAAACATCCAGAGAACTTCAACAAGAAGGAGGAGAAGAGTAATCTGGAACCCGATCCTCAGGATCAGCCTAATGCCACGGTTGACTGATCCAGAAAAGTCCCGCTCTCTACCCACCTGGAAGGACCTCTGAAGAAGTTCGCCACTACCACAACTTCACCAAATTATGCATTTTCGCTCATGTGACATAAAAAAATGCCGACAAATAAAAGCTTAATTGCTGTGTTGGATGAAAAATATGCCTTATCTGTATACGTACGTACGTTAATGCCATATTTCAAGTACAGGAAGGTAATTGTAATTTGATTATTTGTTATATTCAAACAATTGTATACTCGTGTCTTATTGCGCTTAACGATAAGTAATCAGTGAAGATCATTTGAAAGTCGTATGGATATCCGATGCAAGTTTTTGATAATAAAAAACAGTGATACTCTTGTAAACTCCACCTATTTTTACATATCAGTGTTATTTCTATGTATGATTTTTTTTCGATTGAAGTTATTGCTTAATCAATACCTTTGATTTGTTTAATAACTTTTTGTTGTTCAAGAAGGATATGTGCTGTATAATACCTAATGATTTATTTTTTTCGCGCTCAATAGGCTACCTTGTATAAAAGGACAACCATATGTACATGAAAGGGGGCATCAGGGACCAGAAAAAATTTTAATTATACTTGTGCTTATGGGATTACTCGACTCTGTGTTTAAACAGCAAATACCAAAACTAGTTTATCATATTGCATCTACAACAGAATAAAAGTTGTAAACCTCTAATTCATTTTTGAAAATCAAGATCTTCCTTATGTTACCCCCGATCTCCGAGCTGTGCTAAGAAAATCATTCCCCTTAGCCTATTTCTTCTCCTACATATAAAATGAAATCATTAATCTAGTTCTTCGTTTGCAAAATTTCATTTAAATATGTAGGTTAGGAAATTTTATGGGTTTCAATTTTACTTTTGGCTACAGAATTTTAAACAAGGGATGACAATTATCTTAATTTTACCTACTGTTGAATGTGTGTACTTCCTTCGTATAATCTTCTGGATGCCGCCACAGTTAAAAGAACAGCAACGTCTGCTACAGCATTATCTACAACTATCGGTGTACAAGCTACGGGTATATTTCTCTTTTTTAAAGTGGTTACGTCAATATGATCCGAACCCGCAGACATTAAACCCACAACTTATAATTGTGGTCCTATAAAATAATGCAAAATGTTATTTTTTCATACAAGAAATTATTTTTAGTGCGGACCTGCTATTTCTAGGGCTTCCTCGTCGAGTAGTTGGGGAGTACACCAAAAAATGGCGTCTACGCCTTTTATTTTATCTATAATTTGCCTTCTTGAAGCCAAAGGCTTTTGATCAGCAATAATTACATCGAACCTTTAACAAGAGAATACCATATGTCACGATGTAATAAATCAAAGATATTCTTGATGTGATAAGACTTCTTTATTTTGATTAATTTTCTTGCTCAAAATATATGCGATACCACCCTCTCTATAAGTAAAAAATTGCCATTAAAATGGCCACTTTTTGTATAAGAACGTACGTAATAATCATACATTGATTCTTGACGGCTCTTGAGGTCTTGAGTATTCCCGCCGACCGATGGTGATCGGCAACCTTTGTACGCGAAGGGTCTCATTCCCTGAGTGACACATATTTGCCTGTTTAGCAATAGAAGTTCCGGAATTTTAGATAATCATATCCTGCGTGACAAATATTTGCCTACTTAACAGTAGAAGATCCAGGATTCTCGAGAAGAATATAAATCATATCCTGCGTGATAAATATTTGCCTGCTTAACAGTAGAAGATCCAGGATTCTCCAGAAGAATATAACTCATAACTTTAGTGACACATGTTTGCCTGCTTAACAACAGAACTTCCCGGATTCTCGAAAAGAATATAAATCATGTTCTGAGTGGCACATGTTTGCCCGCATAACAATAGAACTTTCGGGATTCTCGAAAAGAATATAAATAATATCCTGAGTGACACATGTTTGCGTGCTTAACAATAAAACTTCCGGGATTCTCGAAAAGAATATAAATCGTATCCTCAGTGACACATGTTTACCCGCCTAACAATAGAAGTTTTAGAATTCTTGAGAATAATATAAATCACATTCTGAATGACACATGTTCGACTGCTTAACAATAGGAGTTCCGGAATTCTTGAGAAGAATATAAATCGTCGAGAATAATGAAATGTTAGGAAGAATTTAGAGTGCATTTGACGACACCCTCTTTGAAATTAGCTTTCAAAGCGCATTAGACCTATAAATTGAAATAATGCAGTATAGAGGGAAAGTGCCTTTCTGACGGTCATATGGAAGGAAGGGCATACGCATGAAAAGATTAACTTTCGTTCGTGTTGTCTTATGATATGAAGTACGTAAGTTAACAGCACTGTGAAAGTTTTAAAAAGCTAACTGCACATTCACTAATCTGACCAGGGCAGTGCATTGAATATAAATTCTGATATAATAACTATGTATTAATACTAGTTTCAGCTATTGATAACACGAAATAACAAAACTTATCAAAATAGGTTCAGTATGTTATTAAGAGTTGACATTAAACATTTTAGTATCTACTACTTCGAATAGTTTACGAAAATGATACTTACTTTTCTCTAAGAATGTCCAAAGCCGTTGTTGGAAAATCAAAATTATTTACAAACACTTTTGGTTTACTCTTTTTGTTACTAATTGAACTAATATTAGTTATTGAACTACCTAGAATAAGAGAAAAGTATTGAGCCTGCGTTCTAAAACTACTCCAAGAAGACGTAATCTTCTGCATTTTTAACGCAATCAAATGTGTTACACTATAAAAGCTTAATTTTGTTATTTCTTCAATTCGCGCAATTCAACACGTAAGTATCTTTTGTACTTAACGATAAGTAATATAATTACTAACTAGCCAAGGTAATTTCCTCATCGTAGTGCGCATTTATCCACTGTAATCTTTTAATAATCCAAAAGAATGCGGTGCACTTGTAAACGACACCTATTTTTGCATTTTATTTAATATTTTTTTTGTTCAAGTTCAAAGTGGATAATAAATGTTAAGTAATATTTCGTTAGAATGGCCTTTATTTCATATTTACATTTAAGATGTGGCTATTTACACATGCAGTAGTTACTTATCTCTATATACATATGTGCAAATCTTAGGATTATAAATTTATCGACGGTAGAACAAGACAACACTCCCGAAATACATGTCACTTCGTTAGTATTGTCTTCTCCTGTTGCAACTTTATGATAATAATCATCACAAGCACACATATACACACAATGTTATCAATTACAGTTTAATAAACGGGTGTTAGCAAAGGTTTATTTTCGTATCCTAAAATGATATTCCTGGCGGTTAATTCTGCAACTGCAGCTACAGTCTTGAATGTAGCACACCCTATGTGTGGCATGAGAACTAAAATATATAAAAAAAATGTTAGTAATGGAAGAATTCCCAAGATTAACTTCTTCAACAACTTTCTTATGCTTCTTATTAAATTCTGTAACTATTAGAATTAAATGAACTAGAAAAGTTACCACAGTTTGGAAGTTCTAACAGTTCATGGTCAATCGGTAAAGGTTCCGGTACCATCACGTCTAGACCTGCTGCAAAAATGGTACCATTTTTGAGCGCTCTGATAAGAGCATCTTGATCTACTATGGCTCCCCGAGCAATATTAACGAACACAGCTGTTAGTTTCATTTTTGCGAAAGTGGAATCGTTAAACATATTTTTGGTTTCATCAGTTAAAGGTGCCGACACAATTACGAAATCACTTTCACGAAGAAGTGTATCAAGTGGCACAAATTCAGCTCCCAGTTGTTTTCCTGTAGATAATCAGCGCATAGTTTTATCAAAAATTAGGAAAATAAATCATTGATTTATTTATGTAGAAGTACCTTCCGGTTTTTCTCGATGGCCACTGTATAAAATTCTTGCAACCTCAAATGCTTTTAACCTTTTGGCTACAGTTTGCCCAATACCCCCGAAGCCAACTATTCCAACTGTTGAATTTTCTATGTCGGTCCCTAACAAATACTGCACCCCAAATCCACTCCATAAACCTCTGAAAGTTTACGAAATACAAAAAGTTTTTTAGGTACATACAACACATATTGGAATAGGAATATTTTTTTACGTTACTTACTTTTCTATGTGAATTCTACTTTCACGAAGCCTTCTAGAAGCAGCTAAGGCCAAAAGAACGGCAACATCCGCTACTGCTTTATTTAAAACGGTTGGTGTATATGCTAAAGGGATTTTTCTTCTTTTGAAAGCATCTATGTCAATATGGTTTAGTCCTGCTGTCATGGTAGCTACCACTTTTAATCGACTGCCTATAATAAATTTGACAAACGTTTTAATTTAAAAAACCATAATTTAAATACAATTACGAACCTGCAGCGTCAAGTATTTCGTCATCAAGTCGCTCATAACTGTACCAAAACAATGCATCCACTCCTGCTATTTTATCAATTATATCTTGCCTGGTGGGATTACTTTGATTATTTATTATTAACTCAAATCTTGAAACAGAAAATAAAATAATTATATTTTTTGTGGTATAATTATTCATTTCATCTTTGTGAGCTTCTGAGTTTGAGC